CCGACGACCGAATCTCGGGCAAGTAACATATCGCCGGACAAAGGGAATTGTATACATGATTAATTGAATCATTGACATCGTGGTTCAAGCGATAAAAAATCTTCGTGGAATATGTGGGAACTAATATGGGCATCTAGGTCCTGCTATTGGTTATTGACCGGAGAGGAGTCTAGATCATGTCTACATGATTCTTGAACCCGTAGGGTCGCACGCTTAACGTTCAGTAGCGCTAGGGTAGTATTGAGATATAAATAGTGGAAAGTCCGAAGGTTGTTCAAAGTCCAGGATGGGACCTGTGACGTCACTAGGAGCTCCGAAATAGTTTGGAGGTAAAGATTCATATATGGAAAGTCGTTATCGGGGTTTCGGAAAAAGTTTGTTTTTTTGGCTATTGTACCGGGAAGCTTCCAGAAGGTTTCGATGGATTCTGGAGGGGTCCAAAAGTCTATAAAGGGTTCCACCATGTCCCATACGGTAGAATGGGCTGTAGGGGGCGCCCTGGCCTTATTGGGTCAGGCGCACCAACCCCTACAAGGCCCATGCGCCCGGGGAAGGGAAACCCTAAGGGGGGCCTCCACTTGGCTTGGAGGGCACCCCTCCCCCCCGGGCGTCGCCCCCTGCCGTGGGAGGGGGGCTAGTGCTGGCACGACCCTCCCTCACCCCTATATATAGTGGGGAGGCGCAGCGGGCAGCGAACCCTTCCGGGCTTGCCCCGTCTCCTTTATGTTACTCATCCCCCATGTTCCGTCAGCGCTTGGTGAAGCCCTGTCAGAATTTCGTTGCCGCCACCACCTCCACCACCACACCGTCGTGTTGGTTCAGATCTCATCTACCTCCTCTTGCTCATTTGCTGGATCAAGGAAAGGACGTTGACAAGCCATACGTGTGCCAAACTCGGAGGTGCTGTTCGTTCAGCATTAGATTGGATTGGATCGTGATTGGATCGTCAAGAGTACGACTACATCAACCACGTTATGACGCTAACACTTTCGGTCTACAAGGGTATGTAGACACACTTGCCTCTCGTTGTTATACATATCCTAGATTATATCTTGGGTGTTCCATAGATTTTTTTTTCAATTTTCATGCAATGTTCCCCATCACCCGAAGCCACAACACCCCACCGAGCAAAGCCGAATTATTCGGACCAAAACCCGGATCATCCGGACCCACGACAGTTGCTACGACACAGCCGGACAATCCAGACGATGCCGAGATCATCCATACCTCCAACGCCGGATCATCTGAACCACCTCCCGGATCATCCGGACCACCTCCCAGATTATCCGAACCGTGCCTGCATGCATGACTTGGGCCGAGGCCCATGTACCTTTATCTACCCCTGGACTATATATACTCCTCCTCCACCTACGTTTTAGGATTAGCATTGTGATAGCTCAAGATAGAGATAGAGATTTTCTCATCCACTTACCCATACTCCCGTGGAGATCAAGGCCTCCATGTGAGAAGATCCCCCAAGTGGATTCAAGACCCCTTCATGGGAAGATCCTCCTAGGATTCAAGACCTCTCTCTTCCATGGATTGGGATGAACTAGCTACCTTATGTATCCTCTTGTGTTGACTTTAGATCTTTGTATCTCCTCTTGTGTATGTGGATTTATCACATGTATGATTTGGATCTTGTTGATTGAGTGATTTCCCTCTCGTGTTCTTTGTGTTCTTCCCGGGATCCCCTCCAATTCGTGAAAGATTGGCCCTAGGAGTTCCACTCCACATCAGGATCGCTTTCCGTCTCCTGGACGAAGATTTCAACATCACCTTTCAGGAGTGGTGTAATTACTTTGGCTTCATCAAGAGATGCAACCTCATGTAAACTATTGTGAATATCAGGTAAAGTACATATGTTTCTCTAGAGACTAGCAAGGCATTCATTGCCAACCAAGGATGTACGGGATCATAGGAAAATGTCCACCATCAGTACTTGCGCTCTTTGTGGCGCGGTTGACTCCTGGAGACACTCGTTGCTCGAGTGCAACATGGCAAGGTGCGTGCTGACACTTGTTGATGGGGAGTTGGTGGAGCATTTATGCGAGACAACTGAACCTAAGTGCCAAGCAGTGGTTATTCGCGATGATTGATTCATTATCACATGAGGCATTTATTAAGCCGTCAGTCACCTTATGGTGGGCACGGAGGAAAGTCATACACGAAGTGGTCTTTTAAAGCTCTCCTGCCACTCATGAGTTCATTAAAAGATTTATATCAAAATTGGAGATGAAAATAAAGAAGGAGACAAGGGCGCCAACTGAGATCAGAAGAACAATGGCGAGGCCTAGAGCACCACCCCGGGGTTATGCGAAAATCCATGTTGATGCAAGCGTGGCAAAGTCCGAGTTGAGAGGAGCAGCATCCGCAGTGTGTCGAGATGATGTTGGGCGATATTTGGCTAGCTCCTCTCTGGTTGTCCGGGGAATCATTGATGTAGCTACACTCGAGGCAATGGCATGCAGAAAAGTTTTGGATCTTGCAGAAGACTTGATGATTCAAAAAATTATAATTGCCTCTGACTCAAAGCAGGTGGTGAAACGACACTAAAAGAGGGACTAGCGACAGTTATGGTTGTATCATTGACGAGATTAAGCAGCGAGCTAGTTTAGTTAATTGTAAGTTTACTTTTGAAGGTCGGACATCAAACACTGGTACAAATAGGTTAGCTAAGTTTTCAAACACTCTTGATAAGAGGCGACATCTATGGTCCATCCATTCCCATGATTCTTTTTATACCACTTCATGTGAACTATGATTAATAAAGCTTAGCTATAGCAAAATAAATTATAAATGTGACTAATATTTTGGAATTTACAAATTCTTCAGGTGTTCAACACACTAGGAACGGAGTACTAGTGATCTTCTCTGCCATAAGGGCATCTCCAGCCGTTGGCCTCCCAGGGGGCGTCTAAAAGCGCTGCCTGGAGTGAGCCGGCGCAAAAAATGACCCTGGGGGCGAGTCGGTCCCCAGCCGTCGGCCCCCAGGCCATCCCCAGGCGCGTATTAAAATAAAAAAGGAACCGTTCGGCGAAGTTATGATAAAAACTAGTTAAATTTTGGTCAAATATGGCAAATTTCGGCGAAATTCGCGCATTTTCATTACATTAACCTAATCTAAAAAAGAAAGGGGCTGAAGTCGTCGCCGCCGTCGCCGCCATCGTCGTCGGCCTTCTCCTCCTTCACGCGGGCGCCCCTGCTGGACCCCTGCCCAGCGTCGCCATGGCGGACTGGTGGCGGCGCATCGTCGCCGTCGTCGTCGCTGTCGCAGATGACGACGACTCCGCCTTCGTCGCGGCCGCGTCAACGCTCCGCGAAGCGAAGCAGGGCGGCGCGCTGGCGCTCCTTCGCCTTCTCCGGGCGCTCCTTCTCCATAGCTATGGAGTCCCTGCGCGCCCATTCCAGGGCCACGTCGTCGTCGTCGAGCTCCGTCGTCACCGGCGCGGCCGGCTCCTTCTTCACCGGCGCGGCCGGTTCCTTCTTCACCGGCGCGAGCCCCGGCTTTGTCTTTGGCTTGACGAAGCGCGGAGGAGGAGCCGACGAGCAGGCACGCCGGCCGCCCTCGTTGATGACGATGCCGGTGCTGCGAGTGCGCCGGCCGAGCGGCGTCTCCGCCGCGGGCTCGGCCTTGACGCCGAGCAGGGACGGAGTGCCGGAGGAGTGCGATGAAGATCGGGAGGAGGAAGAAGAGGAGGACCCGAACCTCCTTGGCGCCCATGGCCCGACGCATCGGTGCTGCGCCGGGGCGGCCGCCCTCGCCGGGTACGCCAACGGCGGGTCGTTGCCGCCCTCGAGGTACGTCAGCACGCCCTCGAGTGTGCGGCCGGGGACGCCCCACCACAGGTGGCGCCCCTCGCTGTTCTGCCGGCCGCCAACCATCGGTGCGCCGTTGATGGACGCCAAGCGCTGCTGCTGGCGGCGCTCGAAATACGCCGCCCAAGCCACGTGGTTGTCAGCGGCGTACTGAGGGAGGGAGAGTTGGGTGTCGGTGAGGGAGGCGCGCACGACCTCGACTTCCTCGATGAAGTACTGCGGCTTCGTCACGGCGTCGGGCAATGGGAGAATGGGCACTCCCCCGGCGCTGAGCCTCCACACCGTCGGCCCGGCGCGCATGTCCGGCGGCGCCGGGATGTTCGCCTGGAACAGGAGTCAGGACTCCTGTTCGCGGAGCGAACAGCGGTCGAAGCCGTTGGCCGCCGCCTCGTCTCCAGGTAGCGTTCCGCCATGGCGACGGGCTCGGGAGAGGTAGAAAGATAGAGGGAGGGGCTGGGCGGCGGCGCTCGGGAGAGGTAGGGAGAGGGAGGAGCTGGGCGGCGGCGAGGGGCGGGGCTGGTGTGGGCACAGGCGAGTGCAGGCCACCGGCTATATAGCCGCGCCGCACCCGTGTGTACGCGTGCGAGGGAGGGGAGGCGTCGGCGCACTGTCCCGTGACGCGCCGCCCGTGAGGAATCAATGGCAAGGCTGACCGGCGGCAGCCTTGGCATTGATTCCCCGCGGGAACCGAGGTCGTTGGGGGAAAACGAGGTGTCGTGTCGCTGACGCGGCGGGCCCGCGGCTGTTTCGTTCCAAAACAGTTCGCCCCGGCGCCCCCGGGCGCCCCCAGCGCACCGGGTTCGGCCTGGGTCCGCCGACGCTGTTTTCGGCCCAGGCCGGCGAAAATCAGACTCTTAAAGGCGCGACCGGACTGTTTTTTTAACGCCGGCGTGAAAAAATCGCCTGGAAAGGCCTTCTTGCGCCGCGGCCCAAAACCCCACCGGACGGAAGCGCCCCCTCGAGGCCTCGACTCCTCTTCACGGTTGGGGTTTAACTCCTCCACTAATTCGTGACCCGTCCTTTCCCCTCCGATTCCATTCCCACCCCTCGGCCGCAAATTCATTCTTTTCCGCTCTCATCCATCGATCGATTCTGGCTGTGGAGGATTTGGAGGATTTGGGCGCGGCTGCCTGTGGCGGCGGTGAGGCGGCGGGGGTCGATCGAAGCCGAGACGAGTCGCAATGCCGACGGCGACGGCGACGGCGACGCCCAAGGCGGTGATCCACCAGCGGTACGGCGCCAAGGCCGTCTACAGGGTGGATGAGGTGCGGGAGGCCGTTGACGGCGTCTGCCCCGGCCTCGCGCTGCCGCAGAGCACCAGGTGCGTCTACCGCTGCCAGCTCGACATCCCCGGGGTGCTCAGCGTCTCCACCCCGGGGACCTTCGTCAGGAAGAAGGACGCCGAGCAGGCCGCCGCGCAGATCGCCATCGAAAAGGTAAACCGGTTAGGGCTGGTGGCGGCGTGGGATTCTGCTTCCTCCCTATGCATGTAGGTTGCCAAGTTTTCTATCGCTGGGGCTTTAGGGTGTGTTTGTAACATTATTAAGCTGTGATTCTATACTGTATAAATATAAACAGTCTGTAGTGTATGATCCGGGCACTGCGTCTCTCCCTCCTGCAGCTTACCTGAAAAGGGGGACAAGGACTAGTTGCAATTCTCTAGATTCAGTTGTTTCTTTCTGGCATGCAGTGCCTCATTATGTTTAGGCAGCAATGTTATCTTGTATCTTAGATACGAACATTTGGCTTCTGAGGTCAGTAACCCAGTTTGGAGAATCCATCCTTGGTGAATGAGTTGTGTACTGTAGCCCATCTTTCGTCGCCCTTTCTACTGACAATTCTCATAAACAATGATCAGGTACTTCAGTAAGAAGGTGTGCAATTACCTAGTTCCTTTGTGCGATAGGTTAGCTAGCTAGCTATTTGGCATGTATAACATAGTTCCATGATGTACAATGTTCTTCATACTATGGACAAGTTCTGATAACCATTTGTTTTTTCTATTGTAGCTTGGTATTCAGCCCACATCAAATATCCCTAATACACCCGAAGAAGCTTGGGAGGAACTTATTAATCGGATATCTTACTTTTTTACAGATGAGGTCTCTATTTTTGCCTGATCTTGGTATTGTATCTTCAAATTTAAGATTTAAGTTATGTACAAATGTAAGTTCATAGGAAGAAAAGTACTCCCTCCGTAAAGAAATATAAGAGCGTTTAGATCACTAAAGTAGTGATCTAAACGCTCTTATATTTCTTTACGGAGGGAGTAGATTGGCATTTTCTTGGTGTTGCCCATTTCAGGGGAACTCTATGTTCTCCTCTCCTGGCACTGGGATCCTTGCATTTGATGGCTAGCTTGTTTTTGTAGTGCATAATTAATAACTATTGTTAATATTTTTATAAGAGTTTGATAATGAGGATCTTTATTGAAGCGATATATCTTGTTTATGGTTATCTGCCGTAAACGACAGACTGATAGAACATACTGCCAATTTTTTCTTTGGGCACTTTTGTGTTCATGTTTTTACACTCTCTGACAATTCTCTATCATGTCCGAGCACATGTTTCTATATGGTTTATCTAAATATAGGTCTTGAAGTCTCAATCATTTTCCCTATGAATTATCGATGTTAATTGAAGCACACATTTATTTGTCTACGATATCCTTCTGAGTTCTGATTATTCAATACCTATCCTAACAAGGCTATACTTCTATGCTTCATTTCAGAACTTCCCCACATCATCTCATCCTCTTGTTGGGCACTTGAGTGTGACACTCAGAAGAACTGGGGATTTCCTTGGAAAGATACCTATTTCAGCTATTGTTGCTTGTGATGTTAAGGTCCAGACATTGTGTAAAATTATTGACCCTAAGGCAGAATTTGATCCTCTCTTGGTTCTTTCGATGATCTATAATGCCGCCAAACAATCTCCTGGTGTATCTGTTAGTAACAGAAACTTCTGGATTCAGAGTCAAAGGCCTTATTCCTCTGAGGCTGTTGATTTGGCACTTCAGTGCTGGTCTGGTATTTCAGATCCCATAAGAGTAGAAGCAGTTCTTATTCCTTGTGCGATGGAGGATGAACCTAAGATGGTAAGCCTTAATATATCAGAGAATGAACATTACATGGGTGATATAGCATTGAAGCTCTCTGCAACCGACTCATCTCATGTCCTTGTTTCAAGGTCAGTACAGAGTCAGTGATTCGTGAAGTCTTGACTTCTTAACCTTTACAGAGAATTGGTTGTGCTGACAGTTTAAAGTATTTTTCTTACTACAGAACAGTTGACAAAGCATCCTCTGAGATGAGGTTTTATTTCCCAGCTCCGGATGTACAATTTGTTTCTGATTTATCAAAACAATTGGTGGATGATCGTGGAGATCGCAATATGAACTGTGTAATAAATAAGCGAGCTTCCTATATTTCTGGCCAAACAATTTATGGAGATGCAGTTTTGGCAAATGTGGGATACACAAGGAGAGATACAGAACTTCAAACTGATCATGTCAATCTATGTACCTATTACAGGTACAAGCTTGTTGACGGTTTCACTTGTATGCTATATGTTTGCAGCAAGACTGCAATCTGTTATGAATAAGTGATACACCAGCTAACAATCTATAGGGAATCGTAATCTAGCTGTAGATGCCGGTCATTCATCAGTTTCTCTCCATTGTGTTCTACTTATCTTCATTTTTGAGACTGCTTTTCTCTATCTTTTAGGAACTACCCTTTCTCGCTCTATTTTATATTTTGTTTAGGTAACATGCTTTTGGATCCTCAGGATTCTTCTGAGAAAATTACCTGATGGAATTTACAAGATCTCCAAGGACTCGATTCTTGTGGCAGAGCTTCCGTGTGTTTATACTCGTACCAGTTGGAAAGGCCCCTCTCCACGAGATCTCCTTTGTTCTTTCTGTCGCCTCCAGAGGCTATCAGAACCCTATTTCGCTGCCAATAGGGTAAGTGCATCCTGTAATGTCCTAGGATCAGCTGTGGGCTCTGAAGAGATGGGGTCACTAAAAGCAACCGCAGGAAATCAGTGCGCAAATGATGGAAGGGTTGCCAAGGAAAACCCAGACATGTTCAAGTGCTCTGTCAAAATATATTCAAAGAAGAGGGACCTTTTACTAGAGTATTCTACAGATTATAGCTGGAGCAAGGAAACTGATGCTATTCAGAATTCTGCGTTGAAGGTCTTGATTTGGTTCAATCATTATTTTAAGCAGCTGAACACGCCTGTGGAGAAGCTATATCTTCCTAAGAGCACTGATGGCTTCACGATATATCCGAATATATTTTTACAAGAATTTGCAATGTGCTTATCTGTCTATGGCAAGACAAGTGGTGGTGATTCAAGAACATGCAGCGCAGTTGGATATTTTTCTATGGATACATCATATCAGCAGCTTGAAAGCAGTGCATTTTTAACAGACATTGATGGTCAAGATTCTGGCGTTTTTCCATCCCATGGATCGTTGGCTTGCATAAGCTACAGTGCTCACCTGTTTATGAAGGACAGCAGAAAGAGATACCTCCTAGAAGTCAACAATGAGTTTGAGTTTGAGATAGGGGCTGGAGCTGTTAGGAATCAGCTTGAATCATGTGCAACTCAACTCTCAGTTAATCAAAGTGCATGCTTTGTAGATCAACTGTCTGATAGGGATTTGAGCCTGGCTGCAGCTTGTGAGTTGTCACTGGACCTTTCCAAGATATGTAGAGGTGAGCTACCTATATCAATAGCTCAATCTGACAGTTATCTACGATTGTTGGAATCGGGCTTCAACATCCTTTCTACATTTTGAACATCTTTGCAGACAGCTGCGTCTTGGAGTTCTCCGTAAAGGTGTTACAAGTAACTGAACCTTTAGAAGATAGAATGGAGAAGGCCTTGTTCAATCCCCCTTTATCTAAACAGAGGGTTGAATTTGCTGTTCGGCACATCAACCAGCTGCATGCTACAACATTGGTGAATGTTACTTTCATCCTAGTTCCTTATTTACAAGTATTGGCTTGTCACTGTTAAAGCTGAATTTTTCAGGTTGATTTTGGTTGTGGATCTGGTAGCCTTCTTGACTCACTGTTAGAGCATCCAACAACCCTTGAAAAAATTGTTGGTGTTGATATTTCTCGAAAGGGTCTTACGAGAGCGGCAAAGGTTCAAAGTCATGTTCTAATAATTGTTTACTCTTTGAACCATTTTTTTTCCTTTTCAATGATTTATATTTGGATTTGTTTCACCTCTATCTGACATTGCAGAGCCTTCATCAGAAGCTTAGCAAGAAACTCTTGTTACAAAGTAGTGTTCCAACAGCTGTGCTCTATCATGGATCAGTAACAGATTTTGATTCTCGCTTATATGGGTTTGATATTGGCACCTGTCTTGAGGTAGCTGAGTACTCCTTTTGAACTGTTTGTATCTTCTGGTTTGGTTTTGTTATATAAAATGGTATGCTTGGTTTTGTTCTAGAATTGATCTGGGCATATGGGTTGTTAGTCCCTGATGTGGATTTGATCTAGAATTACTGTAGGAGTGAACGCGGGAGTTAGTTCCTTTATGTGTAAGACAACATACCTGAAGGACGTTTGTAACCAGTACCCATGCTACATAAAATGTACCCGGAAATGCTTCTACATATCTTGTATGTTGGTTTTGTTTAGGGACTTTTTTCGACTAACCGAAGTAAACTGCAGGTGATTGAGCATGTGGAGGAGGACCAAGCAAGTTTATTTGGCAACATTGTATTGAGTTCATTCTGTCCGGCGGTGCTCATTGTTTCCACACCCAACTACGAATACAACCCTATCCTCCAGAGGTCAGCTTTGCCAAACAAGGAAGAGAAACGGGAACAAGACGCTGGGTCTTGCAAGTTCCGCAACCATGACCACAAGTTTGAATGGACGAGGTCCCAGTTCCAGCACTGGGCTACTGGCCTCGCTGCAAGCCACAACTACAGTGTGGAGTTCAGTGGCGTTGGCGGCTCAAGCGACGAACCTGGCTATGCTTCCCAGATTGCTGTTTTCAGAAGAATGGCGAGAGATCAAGGTGAATCTTCCCTGAACGAGGATGATTCGCATCAACCTTATGAAGTTCTCTGGGAATGGCCTAACGCATCTATATCGTCTCACTGAGTTTGGGCGGAGGTAATAGTACCTGACTCACCGACCTCCTATCCGAGATGATGAGACTATCCGAGATGATGAGACTGCTTCTTACTAACTTGTCAGTTCGATACTCCACCCAGAGTGTGTTGCTGGATATCTACCGCGTTGAACTAAATAGTTGCAGTAGCTGCTCCGAACCTATCCCTTGCGATGGCTCTAATCCCTGTAGAAAACTGAATATTCTGTACTGGGCAAAATGACTATCTGGCTATTTTTCGCTTTTGCTTTTGCATGATGAAGAAAGAGTAGACATGGTGCCGAGCAAACGGAGGACGCTTGGCGTCGGTTGATCGATCGGTCTCCCCAGCCGTCGATGGCAGCTGCGTGTATGCTCAGGATCGTAGGTCCCGCCCGTCGCCGCGAAAAAAAAAACCTCCAGCTGTTATGTCGCCCATCGCAGCAGCACCATCCGCAGTCGCAAGGCTTGCCGCTCTCAGCAGAGCTCCGCGCTTGCTTCTTTGACATTTTCGACGGTGCTCCTCCATCAATTGTTACGTTGCCCATGATTTGTCATCGCAACAGCACCACCCGTGGTCGCAACACCGTGGCTTGTCGCTCAGTAACGCGAACACATAAATCCCACCGATACGAGTATCGGTATAGGGCGATACGGATATGTAAATTTGCCATTTTGAAAAAGTGTCGACACGGTGATACGTTTTACTATTTTTTAATTCAATCAACATGTTGAACATGCACTCTTTGCATATACGTATATAGGTCTTCTCGCAAAAATAATAATCATATATAGGTCTGGGTTATGTACATTGCACCTGTCATGTCTCTCTCTCCTCTGTAACTTGTTGTATCTTGGGAGACAAGACACTAAACGCACCCTCTAAGTGAGTGAATCAAGCATAAAGAGAAAAAGAAAAAAAAAGAAGATATTCACACGAATCTCAATGTAAAATCAATGACATATGACTTAGATGTGCAATACTTATGGCACATCTAGATGTGCTTTAACAAAACTGATCTATATATGTGCCTAGTGCACGATCAATGGAAATTATCGATGGACACAGTCCCTCTCCTCCTAACTTACAAAACATAGAGTATAGAGTTGAATTCAGAATGTCAATTGTCATCTTTGTATATGCGTGGATTCCATGGCTCCCTACCTCCTTCAGCAAATCAGTAGAACCTCTAAAGTAACTACTCAAAGCAACATGATCACATTAGTTACATTTCCATTTAGTGTTCTCCCCTCCATGTGATTTCTCTATAACACATGTGATGTGAAGCATCCTAGGGTCATCCCCATGGACATGTCATCGTCATCCGAGGCACGAGTGGACCGATGACAAGAGCTCGTGCAAGAGCAATCGAATCCAAGGTTAACTCGCTCCTCTTTGGACCTTCACTTTCCGCATGTGAGATATGTCTACTACCTCAAATGTATATGCTATGCATGATCAGGAACCAAGAGAAAAACCATGGAACAGCTAGGAGCATTGGACGAGAAGGCGGAACACGAGGAGCAAGAGAAGTGTCGGCATGCTACAGGCACCAGACGTCCGACACGATGCAGACCCGCCAGCTAGAAGAACCACAGCCGTGGCACACCACAGCGCCCGGACAACCGGCGAACATCGGATGTCCGACACTCGTCAGCCACCAGACCACCGACCCTGTCCGAATATCCGGTCCCACATGTCCATCGAAGAAACGTCAAAAATCTGACGACTTCCAGACGTCCGGGCGCCCGCGAGCCACCGGACAACCGGAACCCACCAGACGTCCGGTACCTGCCTGCGCGCAGAGACTCGGGTCGAGGCCCATGTACCCCTCTCTCCCACCAAACTAATATACTCTTCTCCCACCTCGAGTTAGGGTTAGCAAAGTTTAGAGCTCATTTAAGATAAGAGTTTTGCTCATCCACCTACCACTCCCATGGAGTTTAAGACCTTCATGTGAGAAGATCCCCCAAGTGGATTCAAGACCCCTTTCATGGGAAGATCCTTCTAGGATTCAAGACCTCTCTCCTTCATGGATTGGGATGAACTAGCTACCCTTTGTACCCTCTTGTGTTGACTTTGAATCTTTGTATCTCCTTATGTGTATGTGGATTTAGCGTATGTGTGATTGGATCTTGTCTTCTTGAGAGTTCTTCTTGTGTTCTTTATGAACACAAGGGAAGACTGCGAGGCGAGCACTACCAAGAAGAAGCTTTGGCGCCAACACCAAGGCGAACGACTACAAGCGAGGGCGACACTTCGATCTTCGGAAGCCCCTCAGGGGAGATAGTCGAGCATGGGAAATTCCCTTCGGCCATAGCGGCGAGCTACAAGGTGCCACGTTATACAGGCCTCCTACAACAACACAGTGACAAGACGGTTGAGCATGGGTCATCCTTTCGACCACATCGAGTAGCACTAACCTCTTCGATAACATGAAGATGACGCCCACATGGGATTCCTACTTGGAGTCAAGCTACGAGATCGCACATGAGACACTCTGTTTGGTATCGGAGGAGAGTGATGATTTGCCACATCCTACGTCATTCATCTTTGGAGGCGTTACAAATGAGTAGGTTGAGCATGGGACTATCCCTTCAACCAAGGCGACGAACGGAGTTGAGTATGGAGACATTTGCACATACATCTATCCGACACCCACATATGACGAGATGCCCCAATTCCCATGTGAGGAGAGCCACCACCCCATGAGTGATATGTTGACTCCACCATATGTGACATTGAGTGCATTTCCTATGAGAGGATGAGTGTGACCACCACGAGCCCCACACACAAGAACATGCCACACATCCTATGTGAGGTTGAGAGCCATCACCACCATTTAAGTGACTCGAGAAACCATACGAGTGAGTGCATCGTAGTGGGAGTGAGTGAGCCACAACACTTAGTGAGTGAGGTAGTTGAGAGGGCACATGAGGTCACTATGATTTTTAACAACTTAACTTCTACTCCAACTGTGTTCTCTTTGGTGCTAGATCTCCTACAACATGAAGCGCCAATCCTCGATGAGCCCATACCTCCAATGGGC